TTGGGGTCAGGGCTACGTTTGGCTGGCACGGTGGCAGGAAACAGGCCGTGGCCTAGAGAGCCGGGCAGCTCCGGACGCTAGTCGCAACTGAGGAGAGGCTGAGGGATTTGAGGTTATTTTGCCTGCAGAAGAGACGCGTGAGGGGGGAGTTGAGAGCAGCCTGCAACTCCCTGAAGGGGGTTTCCAGAGAGGCTGGCGAGATGGGGTCAGGGCTACGTTTGGCTGGCACGGTGGCAGGAAACAGGCCGTGGCCTAGAGAGCCGGGCAGCTCCGGACGCTAGTCGCAACTGAGGAGAGGCTGAGGGATTTGAGGTTATTTTGCCTGCAGAAGAGACGCGTGAGGGGGGAGTTGAGAGCAGCCTGCAACTCCCTGAAGGGGGTTTCCAGAGAGGCTGGCGAGAGGCTGTTCTCAGTGGGGGCAGAACAAGGAGCAATGGGCTCAAGTTGCAGTGGGGGAGGTCTAGGTTGGAGATTAGGAAAAACGATTTCCCTAGGCGGGTGGGAAGCCCTGGGCTGGGTCCCTAGGGAGGGGGTGGAATCTCCATCCCTAGAGGTGTTTAAGTCTCAGCTTGACCAGGCCCTGGCTGGGTTGATTGAGTCGGGGCTGGGCCTGCTTTGGGCAGGGGGCTGGACTTGATGCCTCCTGAAGTCTCTGCCCGCCCTGGGGCTCTCTGGGTCTTTGTGCCCCTCCAGAGTGAAATATGGGCGAAGTCCCCCCGCCTGTGGCAAACAGCGCCACGCGTCGGTACTGTGGCCTGGGCTCCTACCCGTGGGATAGGGGCTGGAGTTTTGCTCCATGCACCCCACGTTCCTTTCCTGCCCCACAGCAATAAGCCTGCAAACTCGTCTGGGTGTCGGGAGGGTTTGGGACGTCGCTTTCCCCAGCCGTCGCGACTGCAAAGCTAGTGATGCCGCCGTCGGTTTGGATCAGCCGCCGCAGGCCTACGGGGCGGCCTCGCACCCGCAGCCTGCCTGGCCCTGGGAGCAAGAAACGGGGTCAGTGAGACCCTGCAAACCAGGGCTGCCTCCAGCTGCAGAGGGTCTGGCCGGCCACCGTGGCAGACGTCCTGGGGAAGGGGCAGAGCAGAGAGGAGCGGGGCCCAGGAATCCCAGCAGACACAGGAGAGGCAGATGCACGAGGACGTGGAAACGCTGAAGGCCCTGCCTGGCCTACAGGTCCAGCAGTCCTGCCTCCTCACCCTTTGCAGCCTTCGGGAACTCCTGGGTAGCAGCCCCGTCCCCCCCTCCCCCCAAGCCTCTGACTTCCCACACGGCATCACACGGCAGCCGCATTTCAACTGGCCGGCCGCGAGGAAACCCCCGTGTCACATCCCCGGCCTGTGGGAACTGGTGGGCGTCTGCGTGAGCGCAGCCCACCACAGTGGGGCAGTGAGCCAGACCGAAACGTGTTTGCTGCCTTTCCCGGTGCAAAATGCCAGCCCCTGTCTACAGGCCAGGTTTCTAGTGCCGCCGCTGCGGGGTTGGGCCTCGGGGCCGTTGTGGGGCTTTTTTGGGTAACGGGGGTGGGACACGAGCGATGCAAACAGAAACCAGCGGAATCTGGCAACGCTGGGGTGGGCTGCGGGAGAAAATGCCTCGGGGCCAGCCCTAGATCCCCGAGGGGCTGCCTGCGGCCCGTGGGCCGTGCCTGGTCCGCCGCGGCTCTAGAAGCGTGAACGTCTGTCTCCGGTGCAGGCAACGGGGGGTTTGCCGTGGAGCGTCGCCGACTCAGGGATTCTCCCCAGGTTTATTGGCCCAAAAGCGGCAGCCGACGCCCTCGCAGCCGTCCACGGCGCAGTCACCGGGCGCCACCAAGTTCAGTTCAGCCCCCAGCAGCCTGAGGCTGTCTGGCTTGTTGCCCGTGGCCGGGCCATGCGGTCGGGGTAACGTCGGAGAGCGACCTCCTTTGCTGGCCGTTTATGGGGGGACAGCAGGGCCCAGCTTGGACCCTGGAGGCCCCGTGTGCAGCAGATCTGGGGGGGAGGGGGCGCTGCTGCCCGCTGGGCTAAGAAGGAGGAGATCTCCACCACCGAGCAGGGAGGGAGGACTCGCCCAGCCCCATGTCAGCCGTTCCTCCAGCCCCCACCCCCATGCAAGCCCCGTGGCGCGCGGCTCCCAGTAGTGACAAATGGCAGCCACGGGAGGGGTGTGGTTGATGCATCCAGGCATGGGCAGCTGGTGAAAGTAAGGCTGGGGGAGGCAAGCCCCCAACCCCGCCCCTTCTGCCAAGGCCCCGCCCCCTTCACCGGGAGGGAGGCGGGGGCGTGGCCTGGCCTCCTGGGCTGCAGGTTGGCTGCTCTGCCCGGTGCTGGGAGGAGGGGCTTTTAAAAGGTGCATTTGGGCCCCCAGAACCTGGTTCTGGAGATCACGTCCCTGGCTCCTCCAGGCTTCCTTGCCCTGGCCTCTGTCACCAGCGCGCGGCTCAAGGCTGGATGCAGGCCCAGGCAGACGTGTGGGCACAAGGGGAGAGAATGTCGGGGAGCTGGGCCGTAGACCGGCTCTCCCGGCTGCTGCTTGGACGCTGGCGTCGCTCCCTTGCTGACAGCTAGTGCCCAGCACCCAGGCCAGCGGCAGACGGGGGAGGAGGAGTCTGCCCCGGAGGCTGGCGCTAAAGGTGCGGCACGGTGCCCAGGTGGCCTTCGCGTGGCGGTGGGCGGTGTGGATTGGAACAGGCGGGATCCTGCTCCCTGTCCTTGCCACAGCCCAGAGCCTAGGACATGCTCCCTGGCTCTGCCTGGCTTTCCTTTCACCCTCGCTTCACGCCGGAGAGCAGCGGGGCTTCCCCGGGCTGAGCCTCAAATGCTGAAGCAGCAGCTTGCACAGTAGGCGGGGGGCTGCCCACTGACCCAGGAACTCCCGGCACCGTCTCCCTCCGGGTTCGGAGCCGTGCCTCAGTTTCCCCAGGTGCAAGCCGGGGTAATGGTGCCTCGGGGGAGGGGTTGTAAAGCACGATGAAGGGGGGGAATGCGAAACGGCATTATAGTTGGTTTGATTGTTATTTTATTTGCGTTTTCTGGCTAACACCTCCCAGTTCTCCGTCAGGACAGGCAGGTCCGGGGGTTTCGGAAGCCTGCAGCCGACACAGGTGGCTTGGAAGGGGCTCTGGCTTTTCCCCGGAGGGAAAGCCGCAGTTTTGGTTAGGCTGCTAACGCGGTGGTGAACTCGGACTCCGGTGCTGCAGGGACTTTGCCTTGTTTGCTCCCTGGCCCGGCGTACCCCGGGCCCTGAGCGTCCCAGACTTGCTCAGCTGTCGGTGCCCAGCGGCGGGGAGCCAGGCTGGGGCCCGGCGGAGGAAGTGCGACCCGTCGGGGAGGGCGCGGCGTGGTGGGCCGCACAAAACACTACAATGAGCTGCTCCTTCGGCGCTGCCTATTAAACCCTCCTTTCTTCCGCTAATGCAAAAGGGGGCGGCGGGGCCCCAGGCCGGCCCGCCGCAGTAATTGGCACATAATGAAACTGGAATTGAACTATTAAAATCCCATTATTTGCTGACACGAATGTTTTGTTCGGTTGCCAGCGCTCGGAAGGGCCTTGTGTGACGCGCGGCAGGAGAGACGCCGCGCTCTCTCTCCCTCCCGGGGGGCAGGGCGGGAATAAGAAAACGAGGCCATTAAAGCAGCTCCTAAGGGCTCTGTCCCGAGCGACCGCGTGAGAACGATACCGCGCCGGAAACCCGCCTTTCGTCCCCGGGGGCGGGGCTGAGAGCTCCCCCCCAGCCCGGCGCTTGGAGCCCCCCATGCCGGCGCGCCAGCCCGCATGTTTGGTGTCTTTTCAGGGCTCGGCGTGGCCTGTCTCGCACGAGGATTCTGTGACGTGGGGGGGGCCCGGGGTTCCCCGCGCTGGGCCGTGCGATTCCCACTGACTCCCCCCACGTGTGGATTGGCCCAGACACCCAGCCTGAGCGGATAACAAGGAGCTTCCCAGGGCGAGAGACAAAGGGAGGGAGGCGGAGAC